AGAAGACATCTGGAGCTGACTTGTGTACAGTTTTTTTCTTCTTAGCCCAGTGACACTGAATCATTTGCTTCAATGTTTTAAACTGAATAAAGGTCTGGAATTACCTGATTGCCATTTAAATAAAAATTGCAGTAGAAAAAAAAAAAAAACCAAACAACAAAAAACCAGGGCAGTATTAATTCTCTTAGTTCAATGTGTGATCATTTTAGTGAGTGCTAGTGGATAATTTAGTCACTGTTCACAGGTATATGGCATGTAATTCATAGGGAAGGAATCAATTATGGAAAAAGAAAAATCTGAGGAAGACCCTAGAGACAATAATGTGAAAACTGGTACAGGCAGGTACATTTTTAAGAGCAGCCACACGCTCTGCTTTCTGGCATCACATAGATAACAAGATTAACTACCTGGGTTTGATCAAAAAAAAGGAAAAGATGTTAGGTCATGGTTCACTATATTAATGTTGAGCATGTTCTGTAAATGACATTCAGGAGAAAAATAATCTTATAAAAGAAAAAACAGGTATTTTAATTGTGGACAGTATAAAAGCAGGAAAGAGAGGAAGCTTTTTAAAATGATCTAACAAACTCAATCCCACTGCAGCACTACCAACAGCCTGGATGCAGACATTAAGCAAAGTTAGTGCAGGGAAAGGACGCTCACTAATGTTACTGTTTTCTCACGGGACAACTCTGCAATGAGCAGGAGGGTGCTCTTAAAAGATGAATCACAAATTATAAAGCACTCAGCTTTTTGTGTTTCATGACCAAGCACATCCGTCCCCACGGCAGATTTCTGGACAGCAGGGTCTCATTTGCAGGTCTATGAACTTTCTGTACAGCCATATTTACAAATAGGGATGATGAAAATCTAGCTCTGTGCTTTGAGATCTGTGGGTGAAGAGTGCTGTCCAAAAAAGAGAGAATTCATTCCAGTTTTCCTTTTATTTATGTCAATCAGGGAAAAGTTCATATCAGTTAATAAAATCATACCACTGTAGGAGTCGTGTGGTATGAGATGGTAAGACTTGGTTATCTGTTCCCAGAAAGGCCAGATTCACTGCTCAGGAGAAAATGTAACTCTGTGTTAACTAATGAAGTGTGTAACAGGCTACATGGGTTTTATATCATCTGCTATAAAAAGACCCAGCACGTCCTAAGGAGTTGGAGCCTGGAAGCCTGGGGCCTGTGATGATGTTGTGACAAGCACAAACCAAGCACCCTTGACTGAATGAGAAAAGCAGGGATTTCTTTTTTCCTGAAGAAGCCTTGGCAATGGCCATTTGGCTTGTGGACTTACGTCCCCAGTGCCGCCTAGTTTCTGACACAGACAGGGCCATTGCTGATGGTTCAGCTAAACCTTACGTCTTATGTTTTCCCAGAGGACCTTTTTCTCCAGACTGACCATGGAAATCTCTCTCTAGAGCACTGGCAATGGAAAAACAGACCTCAGCCTCTTTAATGTCTGCCCCATTGCAAAAGTGGCCTCCAGGGCACGAGTAGAAATGAGAATGGAGACCAGGCTCTTTTGCAAGCTGAGCTCTGAGACAATCAGCATAACTGTTATATCTGGCAGCAGCCACAGATTCCCAAAGTCAGCACACCTCGCTTACTGCAGGCTGTTGGAGATGCTTAATCCTGACACCAGAATAGTGGTGCATGATTTCCCAAAGGAAGAGCGATAAAACTCTCCATGAGGATGCCTTCTCTGCATCTTTGATGGACTGATTTGCACGTATTCAAACAGCTAAATATCTACACCAGGCAAAGCCCAACCCTCTGTATCTGTTTCCCTTTTTCCATGGGCACAAACGACAGACAGCTTAGGAACATGATGGGTGTTGGGGAAGGAGGGTTACAACATGCAAAACGTCTTTTGCAGGCACCTTGGTACACTGAGTTTCTCAACAAAATGCTGTTGACATGACAACCTCACTGACCTTCTACAAGACAAATAGACAATCTCATTCCAAATCCAGGTCCTACCACTGCCCTCCTCTCACCAGGAATTCAGAGGCCCTTGGTAGACTGCCTGTCTGCAGAAGGGAAACTGAGGTTTAAGTGTAGATGCCTGGAAAATTCCCTGCTCGTTTCCAGTCAGGTATGCCTGTGTGGCAAGGGACAAAGCTCTATCAATAAGGCATGTTGTCTCCCAAGCACCCGTCACAACCTTTGCAGAGAGACATTTCAAGAGAGTTATTGTGGCACATGCCAGCCACAGCCCTCATCTGCTGCATCCCCGAGAAAGCGTCTCAGCTGGGATTTCCTCCCACAGTCCCATGAGCTCAACCAGCTCCTGGAAAGTCACTGTCTTGTAAACTTGTGTTTTCTTTGTCATCCAAGTGAGCTGCTATTTCTGGTATAACTACAGTTACCATGGCTACACCAGATCATAAATAGGGTCAGAAACCTTGGATTTTTTTTTTTTTTAAGTGATTCCTTGGAATCGGGAATAATCCATCCAGATGTAACAAAGCTCATGGGTTTTCCTTTGGGGCCACAGGGACTTCTGCTACCACTTGGACCCCACGGCTTCTGGTGCAGTTCTGCTTTGGATCAGGTGGCAACTGATATGGCCCAAAAGGCTTTCATGGGGCCAGGGGAAGAAGAGCCTGGGCAGGGGCAAGGAGGGACAGGGATCAGGTACTTGGTCCCTGGCCAGAACTCATCATCCATCCAGGGTGGCAGCCGGCCACCAACACAAAGCTGGTGCCTGTTGCTCTGCAAAGGAGCTACGAACCCACATCCCCACAAAGCAAATGCCACCCGCTTTGTGAGGGGAAGGGAGAGAGACAGGATGGAGAGAGAGAGAGGAGGAGAGGGGAAATGGTCTGATAATCATGGGAGATAAGGAAGAACATGAGAAGCAGGGCCATTTAGGGAGTTTCTGCCATGTTTTCTCGGTGGCCAGAAAATAGCTTCATGTGACACCATGGAAAATTTTTTCCCACATGTCCACTTTTGTTAAAGAGAAATAAGCGATATTTCATTGGGAAAACAAAGGGGGTGTTTTGAAAACAAACAGCCTGAAAAAAATGTACATTCTTAAGGCTCAGAAAAGAGGAGTAGGGGGCCGTAGAAATGGTTTCCCCAGAAACTCTACCTACATAGAAGAAGGCAGAAGAGGAGGGGGAGCCCCCGGAAACCTGTCTGCAGCAGATGGAGGCATGGGAATGAGCAGCGGGGATGGGAGCCGAGTCTGCTGCCAGCAGGCTGCACCTCTTTATATCCACACAAGCAGGTCCCTGCCCACAGTAATCGCTTCTGCTGTCAGGAGCTGCTGAGCGCAATCAATCTCCATGCATTTGTGTACAAGCTCTAGTCGTCACAGGGAAGAGACGATGCCAACACGATGCTGCCCCCATCCTCTTTCCTGTGCCCAGAAATTATCGCACAAGCCTCTGAAAGCTGTGTGATCGTCCTCAAACACATGGGAATGCTAAACGTGTTTGCTGATTCTCTGCTAGATTGAAAGCCCCTCGGCTGCATCTAGGATTTACTTCCCAGCTTCTCTGTGCCCACTCAAGGGCCAGGACCTTATTAATTTTTTAAATGTAAGCTAAGAGTCTCGCTGAGGGATTTATCTCATCTAACTTCAGCTATCTAAAAGGCCAGAGGCCTCGTCTGTGGGGGTCTTGCTCAGCACCAGAGCAGTGTGGACTAGTCCCTGCTGCCAGGGTCTGTCATGCCAGAGATAGCCTGTCCTTTCTCAGTGACATGCAGTCACACCCCTGGCTGGCACAGCTGCTCCAAAATCTCCTCCCCCACTCTCACCCAAAGGATGAAGCCTGTCCATCACTACAGAAGCCCACACCTTGGTTTCCTTCTGCTCCTGTGCTGCTCTGATGCTCCTAGCGCAGCTCCTTTCTCTGGGACCATTTTCAGCCCTGCCAGCCCTGATTTCATGTTGTGAGCTGGACACTCAACAAGGGTAAGTGAGCTGTGCTTCCCCAGAGCCAACAGACCCCAGAAGATTGTTAACCCTGTGGTTTTGCCTTGAGCCAGACAGCTACAGTCCATGACAGAAGTGCTACTGCAGCTGAGGGTAAGGATGATTTTCCAGCACACCCTAGCAGGGCCATGGACATTCTCTTTTCATCTTGAGATTTCCTCCCACATCTTCCACATCTCTGACACTGATCACCCAGGCAGTCACAACAGGCTATTAAAACATATCAGAGATACAAAGCACTTGATAAAATAGTGTGCATTACTATCCTTGGAGTTTTGTTGGGTTGGAGTTTGGGCTGAGGCACCAGCTCTTCCCTTTCTCAGACAGCCCCTCACAGTAGCAATGCTACCGGTACCCAGATGTGACCTAGCTGTTACCATCAGCCTTTGGTCTCAGAGGTGACAGGCCACCCCACTGGCTGGCCATCCATGTTCAACACAAAGGTTCCCCCTTCTTCCCCCGCCATCCCATCTGCTGGCTGCAGCTGAATATTCATTGGGACCCTGTGCAGCATCTCAGCACCGTTCCCTGTGACTCCCTTGAGCGGACTCAGCCCTCTCAGCACCAGGCTGACCATGTGCACCGCTCCATCAGGTGTATCTTGAACCCTGCGGCATAGCTGAGAAGTTTGCTGGAAGCCTCTCCATGCACTCATCAGCACAGGGGAGGGACTGGGGGTGATGAGGACCAGCTCCTCCCTTCCTTGCATGTGCAGGCATGTGTGTGTGTGTTCACAAGCAGCAGCATTGCTCAGAGGGCAGGTGTTTTCCTTATTCCGTTTTGCTTCTCCAGAGATCACCCCCAAAAGGAGCTCCAGAGGAACCACAACCTCTTCTTGTAGAAAGGGGCCCGTTGCCCTTCAGGAGTGTGTCGAGGCTCTGCTGCTCCCCCAGACCTCGCTGGTGCTGTGCCTCCAGAGCACCGGGGTCACTGCGCTGCCCACACATTCCCTCCCCCCCGCCCCACCGTGCGGGGGCCCGCCCACAACTGGCACCATGATGTCACGGGTGGCAGGGTATATATGGAGGAGAAAGAACACCTCGAGACCCTTTCTACACAGGCTGGAGGACAGGAGTTGGATGATTTGCAAGAGGAGCCCTTGGCACTGTAAGTATTTCTCAGGAGTTCAAAGCAGGGTGGCAGGGGGATGGAAGAGGAACTGAGGACAAAACCCAGAGGAGAGAAAAGTCCTGATAAAATCCCATGGGGCAAAAATTTGGATGTTTGTGCTTGGAAAGCATGAGCAGACCCAGAGTCTAAGAGAGGGAGGGATTGTGGTTCTTGGGTGGTCATTTTCTGTTCCCTCTAGCATAGGGCAAGTGCTGCAGCAGTGGTTTGTCTCAAAGCTCCCTGGCTGTGAAAGCAGCCCTGCCCTCCTCAGGGCCACTCGTTTTGTCATTGCTGAGCACCCCTTGGTCGGGGGTCCCTGGCACCCCCTTGGCCTGTGTCCTCCGCTGGCTGAGTTTGCATGTGAGCAGCACCGGTGGGGCTCCTGAGGAGCAGCCGGGACAGGCAGCTGGTGTTTTCTGCTCCATACAGGCAGGGCGCCTCGGTGGGGAGTTCATACCCTGTGATGCTTTACCTCCAGTGGTACTGAATCCCTTTTTTCAACCGTGATAGTCTTTCCAATCTTCCATCTGGGAAGCAATTGTGGGAATACAGTTGTACTTCAAATGAGTTTCTGTCTTTTATTGTGTGTCCTCTTTTGTTTGTTTTTGGTCTTAAAACTGCTGCTAAAATTAAGGGTCTGAGATCCTGTGTAAAACACAGGATCAGAAAGGGCTGAACCTGCGTGGATGCTTTCTATTGCTATGATTAGCCAGCTCAAGCACCTGATACTGGAGCTGTGGGACTCCTCACTCTTCACGGGCATCTTACACTGGATACAATATTCCCTGATGAAAGCCTGGCTGCAAGATGATGCTAGTGGCTCTCATAAGGTCAAGAGCTGAGCGGGCAAGAACCCCATCAAAAGGAATATAAAAGTGAGGGTATTTTCTCCTGGATGCCATCTTTTCCCAGCATATCACTGCATGGAGGGCCACAGCCCTTGAGGTTGCTGTGTCTGACAACCCTGAGGCACCATGAAGACAAGTGCCCATGCAGAAGTCTGTATTTTTGAAGGTTTCAGACAGGGGAAGATGAGATCCTACACTGAATCTGTCTGGAGAAGGTCAAGTGAGGCATCTGCATTATCTACCAGGGAATTTTTCCATAGAGAATCAGAGATTAAGCAGGGGGTAGATTAAAGAGTCAGCATTTGTCAGTGGTATACAAGCCTCTTTAAGTTCAAAGAAAACTAAAAGAAGGATGATTAACCTGGCCAGCAACCCAGAGGTGGGATATCTGACGCAACTGAGCTAAGCCCATTACCATGCATTAGGTATAATTAGCATTCCGACGCAAGCAAAGCTCTTACCCAGAGGATTAAACCCTGGCCTGAGCAGAAATACTGTCAGGGGCAATTAGGTAACACCTTGTCAGAGGAAGGGGCAGAGGAAGTGAGTGGAAGAACATCTTGTTCCTCAACAGCCTTTGCATCCACAGCCATCATCTCTCTCCCAGGAGCTGCATCCCAGTGCCAGCAGAGCAGAAGAGCTCTGGCAGCCTGGGAAGCACTGGGGCGAGGCAAAAGCGCACTTGCAGAGAGCTAGAGAAGGCGATCCAGTCTTGCTGAACGTTTGTCAAGACATCAGTGTGGTGTGGTACCAAGGACTATCCAAGTACCCAGGTATGGGAAGGCAGTAGTCTATGAAATTCCCCTGGGAAGCTGCTGTGGGTGGGGTTTTTTACATCTGTGATCCTGGGCCCGCTTGCCCACCCATGTCTGGCTGTGTGCAGGGGCAGCTGGTACCCAAGGAGTGGGAACAGGGGCAGCTCCCTTGCTGTGGGACAGGGCCCTCTTTAGCATGTATGGAGACATCTTTGCTTGAGCAGGATGGCAGATGAGTCCCACCACCCCACTGGTGGGAGGGCAGCTTGATTCATTCTGTGAGCTGGAGGCTGTTCTGTGGTATTAAGGTTGGTTTTTTTCTCTGCTTGTTCTTTTGGTGACATGTGAGAGAATAGGTAGAGGGAGGTGGGTAAGGAAGAGGTTAGAATTGTCCCTTTTAGTTTCACTGAATGCCATTTCTTGAATTCATGCAGGTGAAAGAGAGGGTGAAGTGTGATTTGGGCAGATTTTTTTTCCTACAAAATCCCAGGTATCAAGTGGATGGCAGGTGGATATGACTATTCCAGATTAGGGGAAAGGGAAACTCCAAGGACTGAGTTTGCCCATTAGCTATTTCTCTACAGAGTGAAGGCCAAGGGCAAGGCACAACTGAAGGAATTAAGAGGAGTTCACTCTCGAAGACATTTCTGTGGTTAAGGTTGAAGATTGAGTTCAGCTGCCTCTTACAAGATTTGGATGTCAGGCCGAAGGGCTGGAAATCTGCCAGCTGCTTTTTTTCTTCTGTTGTACTTCCGGGCGTAGCCCTGAGATGGGTGCCAAGTATCTCTGCGTGTCAGATGAACTGAAGGTGCTTGGAAGTGGATGTGTGTCTCTCGTAGTGCAGGAGGGTTACAAAACACTGAGACAGACCCTACTGATGAGACATGCCCCTGAGGTGGAGGCTTAAACTGTACTTTGAGGCATTAGCAGACATGCCATGGAGCAGTTTTCCAACACAAAGCATCTTGCTGTAGGGCAGTACTATCTGAATTCCTCCCGAGTAACAGTGAAACACCAAAACCTCTCTTTGGTTTGGAGCCGAACTGCTTTCACTTCTCCGTTTGGCCCTAAAAACCCACAAGTCAAAAGATTTTGTCATTCCTCCCAGCAGTGCAGTCCAGGTCATACCAACTACTGGGCTTCCATTCCCATTCTCAAAGAGATGAAGGTGTCAGTGTTTGCCCGTCCTACCACCACGCTGTGAGGATAAAGCTGTCAATACTTGGTGATTGTTCAGGTGCTTCAGAGATGGCAGCCAAATAAGTCATTTCTACGATTTGAGCTGATCCCTGTGTTTGTGGGCACAGCGTGTGCTTAGGAAGCGTTGTGTCGCAGGCAGGGGAATAGCATCTGTGCGTACTTCAGCTGCAGACACAACCATCTGCTGCTCCATTTGGGGCTGCTGGAACCCATCCAGTCTCCTGCTGGGGATATTACAGCTGAGACAGGAGCCCGACCGCAAGCGACAAGAAGAACTAGCATGCCTCTAGGTGCTATCATTAGGATCCATCCTCCTGGCAGCACAGATGGAAAGATGTCAGGGATTAAGTATTCCCAGACTGCCACGGATACAGAAACACGGCTCTTCACCTTGCACTGATGTGGAAATGTCACAGGAGGATTGCTTGGATGGTCTTTCTCCTTGCATCTCAGGCTTGGCTGTTTCAGGACTGTCGAAGACATGAGCTGTCGTCAGCATAAGAAAAAAAAAATACCCATCTTTGATTGCATTTATAGTTTTGAGATTAAAAGTCCAGAGTGCCACTGGAGGTGATGTTGGGGATTAGTCCAGAGCACTATGGTGACATAATGGGATTAGCCTTTAGTAGCAAATCCTGAAGTTAATTCCATCAGTGATTCCATCAGCCTGGCTGCACAGAGACAAACACCTGGAAATAGGAGTTATGTAATGGTCATGGGGAAGAATGTGACTTCAAGGAGGGGAGGAAAAGTTGGCAATTATTTATGTTCCATAAATGCACTTGGTCAGATCATTCTAGCAAACTAATTAGCACAAAATTTGATGAAGGGCTGGAAGCTCGCCCTCAGGCACTGGTGGGAGTTATAGCTGTCCCCTCTGGGAAGGAAGGAAAGGGCTCTGAGTACAGCAGTTCTGCCTTCCAAGGCAGGAGAGATGTCTCCCACACAAGAATTGCCCTCTGATAATTGTTTAGCCCCTGGGGAGTGGAGCTTGGCTCATGTGCATTGTGGTGCAGGAAGGGTCAATGCATGTAATAAAATGCTCAAAAATACCAAAATGGATATATCCTGGGGAAAGTTACAGGCTTCACTCTCCTAAATCCTGAGAAACTAGCTTCTGTCTGAAAGACAATTTCCAACACTTTTGCTTAGCCTTCTTTGCAAACTTTCAAAGATGCTGTGCTTACTTCCCTTAAGGTTGGTATGACAAACATGAGACCCTAATTGCAGCTGTGCCCAGGCTAAAGGCCCACCTATCACACCATCCCATCTCCATCAGTGTCCAAAAGGTACTGCTTAGGCACAAGTACAAGAACAGGGGAAGTATACCATGATGATTCCCAAGGATAGCATATTTCTCTAAGTGTGTCTTTGTGGCTCCCAGTAGTCATATCCTGAACCAGTCCTTAGCTAGAGTGTCCTTTGTTTGGCATCTTAATTCAAACATGCTGGATGAAAAGCAGTGCTATCCTGCTTACTTATATGCATTACAATATTTCTTTATGGTTATTATCTTTATATTTAATTCTGTCAAAATTATGTTTTCCACAATTCTGTCACCTGGCTACTGATACCTAGAAATGATAAGCAGAGTGTTGCATGAGTCCTTGCCGTTATCTTGCAGACAGAGGGATCTGAGAGGCGTGCACCTGCCACACACAGCAGCCCAGCAATGAGTGAGAACCCAGGCACTAACCTCAGCACTGGAGATGCTCCAACTGGTCCCACTACACCAAGGAAGGGGCCTCCCAAGTTCAAGCAGAGACAGACAAGGCAGTTCAAGAGCAAGCCTCCTAAAAAAGGAGTAAAAGGGTAAGGGCATTTTGGAAAGAAAACAAACCATGCCAAAAGAAAATGCAGCCAACTGTATGAGGTTCAACCAGGCCAAGTGCTGGGTCCTGTATCAGGTCACAACAACCCCCTGCAATGCTACAGGCCTGGGGACAAGTGCCTGGAAAGCTGCCCAGCGGAAAAGGACTGGGGGGTGTTGGTCCACAGCAGCTGAATGTGAGCCAGCAGTGTGCCCATGTGGCCAAGAAGGCCAGTGGCATCCCGGCCTGCATCAGGAACAGTGAGCAGGACTAGGGCAGGGATTGTCCCCCTGTGCGGGGCACTGGTGAGGCCGCACCTCGAATACTGTGCTCAGTTTTGGACCCTTCGCTACCAAAAAGACACTCAGGTGACAGAGTGCCCAGAGAAGGGTCACGGAGCTGGGTAAGGCTCTAGAGCACAAGTCCTGTGAGGAGCAGCTGAGAGAACTGGAGTTGTTTAGCCTGGAGAAGAAGAGGTTGAGGAGAGACCTTATTACTCTCAACAATGACCTGAAAGTAGGTCATAGTGAGGTGGGTGTTGGTCTCTTTTCCCAAGTAACAAGTGATAAGACAAGAGGAAACAGGAAACAGCCTTAAATTCCACCAGGGGAGATTGAGATTGGATTTTAGGAAAAATTTATTCACTGAAAGTACTGTAATGGGCTGCCCAGGGAGGTGGTTGAGTCACTATCCCTGGAGGGATTTAGAAGATGTGTAGACATGGTGCTTAGGGACATGGTTTAGGGGTGGACTTGGCAGTGTTAGCTTTATGGTTGGACTCAATCTTCAGAGTCTTTTCCAACCTAAATGATTCTATGATTCTATGGTTCTATGATTCTGATTCTATGATTCTATACTAGTTGGGTGACTCCCCACTGTTAAGCTGGGCTCCTGCCCATCTTCCCTTGGGCAAGGAGCCAGAGGGCTTTCCCCTGCCCCTGGCACCATCAGTATTCCCTCCTGGAATTGCTCCTTCTCATCTGCTGCCCACCCACATTTCTCCTTCCCCAGCTGAGGGTGCAGAGTAGCTTTCCTTTTCTGGGTGCTGGTAGCCCAAATTCACCCCTCACCTGTTCTTCTCTCTCCTAGGTTTGGAGATGACATCCCAGGCATGGAGGGACTGGGCACAGGTAAGCACTGCAGGAGATTGTTGTCATGCCCTGCTTTAACACAAGCACACTCATGCTTCAGCATGGGAGAAGACTGTCTGGGGTGGCCTCTCTGTCCCCCTGGCTTCTCTGCAGCTGTCAGGGTCACCAGAGAAGGCTGGTACTCCCTCCGCAAGCTGCCAGTCATACCTATGCTTACATACACTACAAGACAGAAAGGCTCTTCAGGCATGCTTCAATTTCTGAATACTTTCATTTGGCTGCAAATGTGCTTGTTTGTCTTTGTTTTCTGCCAATAATCTGGCTAAGAATTTCAGCAGAATGAGGTTCTGAAAGAAATGCCAAATGCTAAGCTATTAATACCAAAAAATCACAGGAACTAAATCCCAGCTGGTTAAGTATTTGTGTTATCCCCGGAATCCTAATTTTAAGAATTTTATGCACCCATCTGGAATTGAGAAACACACACTGGATGATCTGTAGCCAATCAGAACTTCTTAGGTGTCAATAACAACTGCACCTATTAATGAGTTACAGATCCTAAATGTTGCAAACCAAATTATCCAGCATCTGATTTAAGATTGGACATCTCAAGGAAATCATAGTTTGGCTGCAGGCAGTTTATAAGAACAGGAGAAATCACAATACCAGCATGAATTTTCAGACATCTACACAGTCATTGAAGAGGCTATAGGAAACACTGGTTTGCTTTTGCTCGCAGAGAAAGGTGGCACAGGAGAAAATACACCAATCTTGTTTGGTCTGGTAGGTAGTACCAGATTTGAAGAGCTCACCTGCTCGTTTAACCTTCAAGTGGAGTCTCATTCTTCTTGCTTTTACCATCTCTAATGTTTCCTGAGTAAATCAGTCCTTCTATTAATACAAAAAAATGCAGGAAGCACACTGACCAAGACCCATTTGTCGTTCTCTCTCTTTTGCAGATATCACAGTGATTTGCCCATGGGAAGCTTTCAGCCATCTGGAACTCCACGAGCTGGCCCAGTTTGGGATCATCTAAAGTTCCAGCATCTCTACTGGTGTCACCTGGTGACTTCACAGGTTCCAGCATGGTCTTCATCATCTTTGACACGTATTTTTGGCCCTTACAACCAGCTGCTCATGAGCAGGGTGGTTTTGTAAGACCTAGATATGAGAAAGTCCTTTGCAGATTAATTTGGCAAAGAAGTTATTCAGGACCCTGAACAGACCTCATGGTACATGTGATGAAACTACTGAAAAATGTCTTAATGTCTCCCTGTACCATACCCTGTCTTCTCCCACTGCTGTAGATCTTCATGTATATTGTGATAAGGGGAGGCTGTATTTGAACTGTTCCCTTGCTTAGCTGATACCGTGTGCATGGCTGTGCATGTATGCCCAGACCTCATTATATCAAGCCCATTTCCTTCACTGCCTGACAGCTTTCTATATGGGATTTCCATGGGTATGTCCCCATGTTATCCAGGCCACCAAACAGTTGCTGAAAGTATATCTGTGGAGAACCGGATCAGAATCAACAGTCCAGACATTAGACTATTTTTATGTAGAAGGAGACCCTTCCTCAGGGCTTCACTGTAAGGAATCTGCTGCTAAGATTTACCTCATCACCAAGAGGGGAAAAAGACTTGTAAATGTTGTCAGTGCTGTACTGCCCACCAGCTATGAGCCATGAGACTCTGGCTGTTCTAATAACGTTAAATGATAATGTGCATGGCAGAGATCAATACCTAAGTGAATTAATCCTACTACCCATTCCTTTGGCAGTCCTGCATGGCTGCAGTTCCAAAGAAGCAGCACTCCAAATGACACTGTGCTTCCTCCCCTTCACGGGAGGCCCCTGTGTGGCACGTGCACTGTCCTCTGGCCCATGTATATTGACGTGAGTCATTCACTGCCCAGGACATGTTTGCTGCTGGTTAAGACAGAGAATTACGATCTGCCACCAGACAGTGCCAGTAGTCCCGCCTCATCTAGCAGAAGATGCTAGTGCACTAGTTGCTCCTTCTTCCTTGTATTTAGCATGCGGATAGTCTCCTTTCACACCACCACCCCACACCAGGAGGAAGGCTCTTCACCCCCCTGGCAACTTCAGGCTCTGGAGCTTGTCTGGACAAGCAGGCAGATGGTGGTTCCCCAGAGAGAGATAAGAGCAGAGCAGGTGGGGAGGTGGGGGGGGGGGTGTGGATCTCTATAGGGAAGCAAGCATAGAGCTAACCCACTTAACCACTTAAGATTTGTGTCTCCTGCTCTCTGGCAGCCTGAGTGCTGGTGAGTGGTGAGGCACTCATAACCACTGAAATGCTTGGGGAAGGCACTGAAATTCCCTGCTGCCCTGGCATTAAGGGCTTTTGTTTTCTTTAGAGGCAAGGAGCAAGATTTGTTGCAGCTACATAAGAGGAGATAGCATTTTTAATCATTGCCTTCAGCTTGGCGATCGTCACTGCATAAGAACTGCCTCCCCCCAGCTTATCTTTCCTATGCTGAACATGTTCATGGAAGCAAGGAGTGGTTGTGGAGAGGAGAGCAAATCCTGCCTAAAAGATCGATCCCCCTGCATAAAGCATTGCTATAAATCCATGGCTGTGCTATAGTTATCCGCTGCTGTTATTCCAGAAATAAAAGCTAGCAGTTTTCATTTAAAATATAGCTTCAGCACTAAAAGCTAAAGGAAATTCCTGTTGGCAAGCCAGAGTACAGCTTTTATTATTCAGCACTCCTGTCATTAGAAACAGCAGTAAACCAACAAGCAGTTCAGAACCGCAACACAATCACAGCGCAGGAGTCACATACCATTTAGCTAATTGCAGCACGCAGCTATTTCCTTGGGCAGAGGCAGTCTGTTCTTCCTACTTACTCCTAATTTCTCCTACCTTTCTCACCTTTTAAGGCTTTTCACATGTAAATGATGTTTTATTTAGCTTTTACTGTAGGTGACTGGGCTCACTGTTTTTTTAAGCTCATGGGTTAGCCCTCTCTTTCTGTGTTTAAATGTGAATGTTCCAGTGTCAACCCTCTTTTGCTTTCCCTTGCATTACACCAACCTGTAGTATTATGTGGTTTTGGTCCTGTGTTTCTTCTTCCACCTTCTCAGTCTCTCCTCTCCTGTCTGGAAAAAGGCCCACTAGATCCAGGTTTGGATCCTGCAAGCTGGTTGTGTCTATTATTATTGAGTTTTCCCATTTTTAAGCAGGGGAACAACAAGAGGAGAACCTTTGAATTAATCCTTTTGTTCCCTTTTCATCCCGGGCCTTGGGAAAGCAGTCCAAAGATGATAGTGAGATCCTCTGTCAGAAAATACTGGGGTAAAAGCCAAGTTCTCCTTAGTCCAGGGACTGAAGCATTTCAGCAAACAGGAGGGTCCTGGTGTAGTTTCACACCTGACTGCCATAACCCCTGCTCCCATCAGAGAGCTACTCCATTCTCCTTCCTAGAGGAGTCCAACAGGAATGCACACATACCCCAGTTCTCACACCTGGCTGATGAGCCGTGTCAGAAGATGTTTTGAGTCAACACAGTTTGTTAATTATTTTAAAAACAATTTCTATTCATTAAAAGGGATTACATCTGTTCCTTTACTTGTAAGGAATTTTCAGACTTAGAAGAGGTATCTCAAAACATCATGACAGTTGTTTGTTCAGAGTTTTTTTTAATGAGATACAACCCCTGAAACATCAATTTTTCAAACAGTAAGAGATGGCTATGGTGTAAGAAAGCAAACGTGTTAAAGTAGCTTGTTGAAGAACTTCAGTCCATATACATTGTAATATGTTATTACTTGTTCTTTTACTATAAAAAAGTCAAAAGCAATAAAAATGAATAAAAAATATTTTTAAAATCCAAAGAATGTAGTCTGATTCGCTTAAAGAATATATCCAGAGAAAGGCAGATGACAGCTTTTCATTCTAAAATCCCTTCCTTAGGAAAGCTCTGAAAGCCCCTCACCACTCCTCATGAGAGAAAACCAGCTATTTATCTCCAAACAATGGGCAGTAAAGGCTAACTGTGATATCACCTGAGAAGCAGTTTTTCCCTGAATGATGACTGGTGTATTCTCCCAGGAGTGGTGCACATGTTTTCCTTAGGGCTGAAATCTTTTGGCCAGTTACATCTGTTGAGACTACTTATACAGCTGAGTGTCAGCATGTTTCTACCCAGTAGCAATATAGGACTGAGATGTGATTGCCACTTAGTTCCTTCTCATTGCTGTGACTGCAAGATAGAGCTGCAAACACTCATTTCCTTTTGCTTCTTGCTGTTGCTGAACTTTCTAAACGCTCACAGGGGTTTCATACTGGTCAGGTTCAATTGCCTACTGGTGTATGCTGCCAGGTCTCAGCCTTAAAAAGTTAAGGTTAGCATAACTGTGGTGGTATTTTTGGCCCTTGCTGCTCCTGCTGGGTGAAACAGATACTTTCACTATGAAGGCTCATTGCCTTCAGGCATTTTCAAACACTTTCTTGTCTCTGGCATTTTTCTGAGGGCCTCTTAGATTCCTGAGGCTGTAAATGAAGTGGCTGAGCTCAGCCATCACCAGCACATATGCAACGTACAACAGGCTGTCTGGATGGCTGGGCAGGCCAAGGATAGACACAAACAGAGGAACTATATTACCCATGAAGAGTATAACTTTAGTCAGGAGGCTCTGGGACAGCAGAAGACTTCTGGTACCCTGAGAGCTTGGTCAGGACAGTGGTGAGCACAGGAAAAGCACACAGAAGGGAAAGGTGCCCTCAAGAACATGGAGAGCATGGAGCAGCAATGAGATGCAGCTCCACCTCTGAGCTGCTTGCCAAAGCAGTACACCTGGCTCTGCCCCGCTGACTGTGCGGGCAGGGTACAGGAGATGGCCAAGGAGAACTTCCAGGAGCTCCCAGCCTGTCATGGTACTGACAAAAAGCATCCACACAAGGTACAGACTATCTACAAGGGGCACCAACTGAGGAAGCTGAACTGTTTCCCTTACAAGAGGCCTTGCTCCCTCTGGGAGGCAGTGGCTGAAGCAGCACAACTGTCCAGAGAGAAAGAGATTGGAAAGAAGCACATCAAAATGTGGGAGCAAGGGTTGCTCCAGACTGCCACCACAATGGCCATGCAACTACAGGTGATGGAGCAGTTAACCAGGAATAAAATCAGTGACACAATCTGTAATTTGTGCTATTACGAAAAGACCCATAAGAAGAACTCAATACCCTGTGTTTTGTTCCCCCTCACATGTGGTTAGGACATCGGAAGGAATGAAAAATTCAAATCCCAGGATTGTTAACACCCCCTCTGATGTAGGCTGTTAGCACACATCCCTTGGAAGTGAGATCTATGTAGGCTTGCAGAGCAGGAAGAGGAGCACAGCAGGTTACAGGCAGATGGAAGACAGGACCAGTTCCCCAGCCATACAGAGGTTTCTGCCCCACAGCTGACCTAGGGTACAAACTCACATTGATTTATCACAACCCAGCACTGGTTTCTCTAGGCACAAAGAGAAAGCAAGCACATCTTCTCATCTCACAAGCTAGCTGGATACAAGTCAGCCTAAACCTGTGCACCAGCCAGCCACTGCACCATCCAGGCAGCTGCTGTCACGGCCGTATCAAGCTTGAAGCTGTCTGCACCGGGGAACCTGGCTGCAGGTTGGAAAGTAAAGGAAGAAATATAACAGCAGTAGTGTTAGAAACAACAGCTATTGTTAGACTTGGCTTTAGCAACTGCATTGGTACCAGAAACCCTTACTGGGATCAAGGTCTTTCCACGCTAGGCATTTTGTAGATACATCACTGGAAAATAATGAATTAGTAATAACTGATCTCCAAGACAGCGTGTTATTCCGGCCTGTGGATACTGAACTTCAATAACAAAGCAGGGACAGAAGAGATGCCGCACAAACAGTGTTGAAAATGTCAGTGCATGGCCAGGTCACGCACAAACAGTTGGGATGAGGAAAAGGCAGATGGAGGCATCAGGGAACAGGCCGTTCAAACATAAGGTAGGAGAAGATCTGGCAAGCACCATTCCTAGACAAGAGCAAGTCAGCAATGAAATTTGAAATAAATATGGTCAGCAAATGAAGCAATTTTGGACTAAAGCTGCCTATACAGAAATAGTACCATGAGGAGCTGTATTATGAGAAACCTGAGAGGAACTTAATGCTGTTGCATCCCAATCCAGAAAGTTGCATTCAGCTCTAG